GGCTGGCGCAGGCAGGAGGTGCTGCCAAACGGACAAAATCAACAAAGCCATGAAACGGGGAGCACGGTTCGCTCCCCCCTTTCATTCCTGTCCCTGCCAGCAACCGAGGGTGGCAGTGCACGGCGGCGGCTCAGCCCTGACCCGGGTACGTGGTGATGGAAACCTTCTTGAGGAGGATGCTTGAATCAAACGTGCTCTGCAAACGCCCGGTTGATGGGATCAGGATGGCAAATGGGGCACCCCACAAAACCCAGAGAAAAACCACACCAGAGGCCGAGGAGGGTGAACGCGGCTCCGTTCCAGAGCTACCGCATTTGAGATGCAAATAAAGAGCTTTCCTCCCGAGCAGCAATCGATGCCGAGCGGGCTGGGGACAAAGTCTCTGGCAACGGGGACGCGGTTTGGTGAGTCCTGGCGTGGTTCATTATTAAATCCCTCCACGGATTCATCCCGTCCGCAGCGCCAGGGCCGGGGCAGCAGCGTGCAGCGAGGGAAGCACAGCCAGGACCGCGGCTGGGAGCGATGCGGGAGCCCGGCACCGGCACCCGCAGCCTCCAGCACCGGCACCGGCACCGCTCGGCCTCCTCTGCGGCGCTGGGAGCCGCGGTCCCGCCGCTGGGACCCCGACGTGCGATTTGGTAAACAAAGGAGCCGGTGCCGAGCTCCCCGCCGGCCGCACCGGACGCTGCCACCGCGGGGCCCGCGGCCAGGGGCTCACACGGTGCCCTGCGCCGGTGACCGGGAGGGACGCGGGGCGAGAGGCAGAGGCGAGGCTGCGGCTGCAGCAGCCCCAAAACGCGCGCACACAAAAGCCAGCCCCTGCTCCGCTCCGCGCCTGCAGCATCTTCCCGCAGCCGCGCCGCGGCCGTAGCACGGCACCTTATGTAATGTGCACCCCCAAAACACCCGGCCCCGGCCCCCCGCCGAGCCCCGACGGCTCCCCCAGCCCCAGGGGTGACCCCCAGCCCGCCGCGCACCCCCCTCCTCCTCCCTCTCGCCGTCCCCATTATTCCCTTTGTTGTTATTCCGTTTCCACTCCGGAGATGCCTTCAGAGGCAGCGCAGCCCCCCCCGGGCTTCCTCCGCGCACCCCAGCCCCGCGGAAACGGGGGTCCCGCCGCCGCACCGAGCTGTCACCGCGGCGGGCGGGAGCCGGGAGCCCCGAAAGCCGCATTGCACGGCGGGGAGGGCGAGGGGCAGCGGAGCGGGGGGTGCCCGGGAGGGACCCCCGGGGGCAGCGGGAGGGCCCCCGGGGCCGGTGTAAGGGGGGCAATACCGGGCGGCCCCGGTGCTGCGGCACTTACCGGGGTCGAAGTGGGAGCTGAAGGCGAGGCTGGGGCTGAGGAACGCGGCCGACATGGCAGCGGCGGCGGCGAGGGGGCCCATGGCGAGGCGGCGGCGGGAGCCTCACGGCCGCCGGCTGCCGCTGGCCCCGCGCTGGGCACGGCGGCGGCGGCGGCTCCTCCTCCATGGCGGCCGCGGCGGCCCCGCGCCCCGTGCCCCGGGGAGGGGCCGCGCCGCCGCCGAGCAGCGGGATGGGGCGGGCGGGGGCGGCAGGTGGCGGAGCCGCAGCACCGGGACCCGCACCGGGACCCGCCCCCCGCGGGCACACGGAACCCGCCGGGACCCCCGCAACGGGACCGGGACCCTGCAATGGAGCCGGGACCCCCGAAGGGGGGGGGGGGGGGGTCCCCGCCCGGCCCCGCGGAGCTGTTCCGGTGCTGACCCGCCCCGGGCATCCCGGGACTGGGGCTGGGACTTGGGATGGGACCCAGCGAGGGTACCGGGGACAGAAGCGTCCAGCGGTGGAGCTGGACGGGACTCGGTGATGGCACCAAAGGCAGGGGACGGCTGGAGCTGGACGGGACCCAGTGACAGTACTGGGGATGGGAAGGGCAGCTGTGCCCCCCACACAGCCCCAGCACAGTCCCCCACACCCCAGGTGGACACCCCTCATCCCCACCACTGCACTTCAGCCCCTAAATCCAGCCCCGGGAGCCCATGGACTATGCAGGACCACACAGCCCGGCCTCGTGTGCTCGATGCCCCAGCCCCAGCACATGGGACTGCACCCTCCAGATCCAGGGTGCTCTAAAGATCAAACCCCCATCAGACACCCCACAAAGCTGCGGGGTCACAGTGGGATGATCCCATCCTATCCCCATCCCTGGGATGGTCCCTTCCCATCCCCATCCCTTAGACCCCATCTGGGAGCTGCCGCTGCAAGACACCCAGGCCAAGGGTTCAGCTCTTAGCCCCGGGCTCGCCTTCCCCACAGGGGGATTTCGTATTTAAAGCCAAATTTCTGTGTACACGATTAATTTTTCAGCAGGGCTGGAGCTCGCAGGGAACACCACGCGGCACATGTCACGTTGCCGCAAATAGACACAGGCCTGGAAGAATTACAGGCTGCTGGGAGAATAAACACGTTCCCAGGAGCCGGAGCCAGCTTCCTTCTCCCAAACCTCCATATTTCCCTGCTCCAGAGCAGCTCCGACCCTTCCCAGCACCCAAAGCAGCCAAGTGAACGTGGCACTGCCCCGGCACGGTGCCTGCTCGCTGCGGGTGGATCTGGGCTCTCTTGGAGCTGCGGTGGCATCAGCACAGCCAAGCCCCGCTCCTCATGTGGCTGAGCTGGCACCGGCTGAGTCACGGTGAGCCTGGGTGGCTGCGCAGAGCCCACACCAGCACCCATCCAACCAACCACCTTCAGCACCCGAGCACATGCAGCCGGTCCTGACTGCAGGAGGAGGATGAGCTCGAGGCCTTCCTGATGCTGGCCAGGAGCAGTGGTGGCTTTGGTGAGTGGTAAGGGATGAAAGGACCTGGCTGTTGTGGCTGGGGGTGGCAGGGAAGCTCCCCAGTGAGGCAGCACTGGTGCCCAGCATCCCATCCCACCTGGCATGCAGGAGCCCAGCACAACCCGTGTGAGTAGGAGAGGGGTGGAGGACAAAGTCAAGGCTGGAGTATGGATGGAGCTGGAGGATGAGGTAAGGGATGAGCTGATTCATGGGCCTGGGTGGGCACAACTCGGCTCCCCATCTCCACCGGTGCCCCAGGCATGGTCCCGCACACCCTGCTTGCCCAGGGGACAGCCCCGGTGCTCAGCCCCAGCAGCTGTTTGACGTAGCCAGGAGCAGGACGGAGCCCAACCCCACCACCTCCCCAGCCGCCCTCCTCACACCCAATTCCTGACATAGCTGTGAAAGAGAACATCCCAAAGCAGAGCTGAGCCCCAAAGCCCCAGCGCGGATCCCCCCAGGCATCACCCGGGGTGCAGCAGGGATGGTCCCAGCCCACCAGAGCCCAGAAGCACAACGTGGCTGCATCCCAGCACGTGCCGGGCCGGCGAGCAGCACCGCGTCCAGATTAGCAGGAGCGATTACCCCGCTCCGGCTTCCCGCTGCTCCGTCTGGGGCCGTGGTTAATCCTTCCCGGGGCAGACACCAGTTTGAGCCGCGATCTCTGTGCGGCGGCTGCCAAAAGGCCCCTTGAGCTCCTGACCTCCTTCCCGGGAGCCAAGGGGCTCCTCCGCTCATCCCGGGGCTGGGAACCAGGGTCCTTGACTGGGGCTCTTTAGCAGAGCCTGCTACAACCACAACAGCAAACAGCCCTTCTGAGTCCAGGGCTAGGGCTGGTGGCAGCCCCAGTGTGCGGGGACCCCGGCGCGGCAGCGGGGCGCAGGCATCCATCCGGTGAAAATCTGCATCCTGGTTATGCAACGGCACTGATTTATTCATGCCTGAACCGGGCACTGGCCTAGAAATTAGCCCGGGTGACGCTGGGGAGAGGCAGGGCTGGGAGGAGGCTGGAGGAGCGAGTCCCAGGGCCAGGCGTGTATGGCACAGCGGGGACCGCGCATGGGTGCTCACCCCACCGCCAGTGATGCCAGATGGGGCAGAGGGTGCTGCCATCCTCTATAGGGTCAACAGGGCACAAGCCCCCCCCAGGAGAGGCAGGGACGGGGTTCACCCCCTCTTCTCCCGCCCCACATTCCTCATGGTTAAACGAACGTAACCAGGGCAGCTTTGATTTCACGGCAGAGCCGGGGGCCGGGAGCAGGAGATGGCAGCAGAAGGCTCAGGGTGGCCCGAGCAGAGCTGGGAAGGGGCGGAGGACGGAAGCGGTGCTCAGGAAACGCTCGTTAGAAAGAGCAACAACAGCGGAACGAGCTCCGTGCCCGGCCTTTCCCGGGAAAAGGGGATGAGGGCTCCTCCCCTGCCGGGATGGCAGAGGGGGAAGCCACACCGGCACTGCACACGTTCCAGGAGGGAAAGGAGCTGAGCGGGCCCCCAAACACCCCTAACGTGGGCGTTCAGGGGTGAGCAGCACCCTGGGCTGACCCGCGGCCGCATCACCCCGTGCCAGGACAAATGCCAGCACCGGGAAGCAGCGAAGCTCCTCAGAAGCTTCCTGGGCTGACAACGGGTCCCTCCACCCCTCAGCCTGTGGCTCCAGGGGGAAGGGGGCTCTGGCAGCGCTGCCGTGGGGCGGGGGAAGGAGCCCGCAGCCCACCCCACATGGCCCAGCGGAGCGGATGGGAAAGACCCCGGGAGCGGGATGAGCAAACATCTGCTCCCCCCCGCGCCGAGCCCCAGCCTCCTCGGAGGGAACGGGCTGCGGAGGAGCAGCCGCACGCTCCCTGCCGAGAGGAAACAGATGCGGCCGGCCCGGCCCTGGTGCTTCCCCTCGCTGCCCCAGGCGATGAGAGACGGGCAGGTAGCAGAGGCTGCGGGACCACATCCTGCCCCGGCCCGGCTGGTGAAGGGTGCTGGCTGACAGCAGGATCCCAGCCTCAAAAACCCGGCGAGAGGAGGCTCCTGCCACGGGGAAGGGCTCGGGCTGCAGGAACAGAGGGAGGGAGGGAGGGTGGCACCATGAGGAAGAGCAGCTCATGCCCTGGCACTGCTACACATGGGAGGGACAAAGAAAGAGCAGTGCTGGATGCCAGCGGGGCAGAGGCTTCCCCTGTTCCCAGGGGACACAAAGCAAACCAACAGCTGTAGAAACCAGCACAGATTTATCTTGAGACCACAACCCCTGAACGCACGGAGGCTGCTGAGCACCCCGGCAGGGCCCACGGCACCAGCACCGGCACGGGGCTGCGGCAGAGGGAGGGCCCGGCCCCATGCACCCAAGCACTCAGTTGGGGGTCAGGAGCTGCTTGCGTTGCTGCTCCAGGAGGGCTTCCAGGCGCGTGGCTCGCTGCACGGCTGCCTGCAAGAGAGCAGGGAGAGCTCACAGCACCCAGGGCAGAGCTGCAGCACCCAGGGCAGAGCCGCAGCACCCAGGGCAGCACCAGCCCCGCACTCACCTCGTACTGCCTTCGAAGGCTGCTCACGCTCTCCTCCTTCCTCAGCACCGCTGTCTTCACCCTGAGCAGAGGCACACAGAGGGGCTGAGGAGCCCAGCACCAAGCATGGGCTGGCCCCATGCCCCAGAAGGGTGATTCCAGCACTGGGGAGCGCAGTCCCTCTCCTCCAGGCACTGCAGCAAGCCAAAGAGCAGCAGCCCCAGGGCTATTATACACTAGAAGCATCCTAACCCCCTTGGTGAGCACTGTGTAGTTTGGATGGAGTCAGCTATAGGAAGAAGGGGATATCAGCCTCACAGGAGTGAGTTAACAGCACCACAGGGAGGGGATTTGAAGTTTCTTCCCATTTCTCAAGGCCACGGTTGCTGCCTCATGGGTGGACTCTTCCCCCCAGCTCCCAGAGCATCAGGCTTTGCTTCAACCTTTGCCAGGCTGTACACAAGGGACGGGAGCAGAAAGGGGATCCTTGTTATCTCACGCTCAAGGTATGAGCCTGGCTCTCAGGGAGCAGGAATCCCTGAGCAGGATCCAGGAAAGCCAGCGAGCTCCATGTGCGCTCCAACAGCCTCCCTGCTCGAGCAGCTCTGCACAGACAGCGCAGGAGGGAGGGCTCTGCACCACGCAGGCACAGCTCCCGCAGGAGACATTGCACTTCCCCTTCCCATTCTCCTTTCACTTGCAAAATTCCTCCTCCGCAGGCAGACACCAGGGAAGAGGAAGCCTTATGTCAGTGCCTGACACGGAGCCCGGCTCCCAGCACCATCTCCACACTGAGCACAGGATGGAGCCGAGCACCACAGCCAACAGCCCGCAGCCCCAGGGCACTCTGGGGGTGCCTCAGCACCCCTGAACCTCTGCGGTACCCACAGCAAAACCCTGCAGGAGCTGACCATGAGCCTGGCTGCTTGCAGGGCCCCTGCTAAAGAACCACCCCAGAGCTGACCCCACTGGCCTCTCCCGCAGGGGCTCCTCGCACTGCTCCAGCTGCTGCGGCCTCAGGCACACGAGGGAGCAGCCCCGGGGCCAAGGCTGCCCCAGAGCAAGTCCCAGGGGGCAGAGGATTCGGGGTGGCTGAGCCGGCAGCGCGGGTGAGGCCCTGCTGCCCATCCTGCCCTGGAAGCCAGGCCTGAGGATGCAGCCCCACCTCCTGTGAACCTCCTCCAGCTCTTTGTCCTTCTCCTGCTCCAGCCTGTCCAGCTCCAGGCGCTGCCGGGTTCTCATCTCCGCCATCTCCGCCTTGAGCCGCTTGTTCTCCTCCTCCAGCCCCACGAGCCTGTCGCTGAATTCCTGCCGGATCACCTCGGCCAGGCTGCCCCGCTCCTGGGCCAGCTCGTCCCGCAGCTGCAGCAGGGGCAGAGGGGGCATGGAGGCACCGAGGGGGCAACGCAGGGGGACAGAGGCAGGCTCGGCTCCGCGCTCACCTTGCGGATCTCCTCCACCTCCTGCTCCTTGTGCTTCAGCAGCCCCTGCAGCCGGATGCTGTCCCCCTCCAGCTCTGCCAGCCGCCCCTTCAGCTCATTGCAGCGCTCCTGCAGCTTCCGCTCCGATCTCTCCAGCTCCTGGAGCTCCACCTCATACTTATCCCGGATCCTCTTAATCCTAATGGGAGGAAAACGCAGGCTCAGGCCGGTGCTGCCAGGAGCACCCCAGCCACCTCCATGGCTCACACCCCGAGAGATGCTGCGGGGACAGCAGGGGAAGGGCTCCCCCCGCCCCGAGGAGCTGGGGCACGGAGCTGGGGCACGCAGGCTCCCTGCTCCCTCTCACCGGTTCTCTGCTGCCCTCTCACACTCCTCCTTGGCCAAGGACGTGTCGGCCTCCAGGCGCCGGATCACCAGCTCGATCTCTTTGTCCCTCTCCTTTTTCACCTCCTCCCGCAGCTCCCGCTCCCGGGAGAGCAGCCAGGCTTCCTGGGAACAGGGACGGCAGACGCTGCCTCTATCCCTCTCAGAGCCCAAGGGTGGCACTGCTGGAGAAGGGCAGCCCTTGCCGTTACCTCCTTCTTCACGTAGCTCGCCTCCCAGGCCTGCTTCTCCATCTCCAGCCGGTCCTTCAGCTCCTTCACTTCTGCCTATGGAGAGACAAGAAGAGCTCAGCCTGGAGCAGCCCCAGCACCATCCCGGTGTGGATGGGGGGAGCTCAGGGGTGCCAGCACGGGTCACCACAGCCCTGTGCTGGGGGTTGGACTGCTCACACCCAGGAAGAGCAAATCCAGGGCCCAGAGGTGAGGGGAAAACCAGACCTGGTGCCGCCTCTCCTGCTCCTCCTTCTCCTTGGCATACTCCTCCTTCAGCGCCCTGCTGAGGGCCGAGCTGCTGGCCTCCAGCTGCTGCCGCAGCTCCTCCACCTCTGCTCTCTGCCTGCCCACACACAGACACAGCTCCCAACATCTGCAGCTCCAATGCCTGCAGCAGCCCAGCCTCACAGCCCCCTCCTCAGGCTGCTCCCCATGGCCACCCTCAAGCCCAGCCCTCTTCCCACCAGGACAAACCCAGCTCTCTCCATCCCTCTCACCTGGCTGCTTGCTGGCTGAGCCGCTCCCTCTCCTCAGCCACCTCTGCATAGAGCCGGCGCCGCTGCTGCTGCAGGGCCTGCTCCTCCTGCTCCAGCTGCTGCTCACATCTGTGGGGCAGAGCAGCCTCAGGGGTGGGCCTGGCTTTGGGCATTCACTCGCTCCCCACCTTGCCCCATCCCATCCCTTCCACAGCCGACCAGGAGCCGCTCTGATGCTGGAGGATGCCCCTGGGTCCCACCTGGGGAGAAAGGGGCTGCTCCCCTTGGGTATGAACTGCTGCCAACAGCAGGAGCACGGCTGCCGGAGCCCAGCCGCCCCAAGCCCCGCCGCAGGGACCCACCTCTGCCGGGCGCGCTCCCGCTCCCGCAGGCTCTCCTCCTCCTTCTCCCTCTCCAGCAGCCCCCGCAGCTCCTCTGCCTGCCGGCCGTAGCGCTGGGCCGCCCGCTGGTCCGACTGCAGCAGCTCGGCCTCGTGCAGCAGCTTCAGCTTCCGGATGTCCTGCTTGTGCTTGGCGATGAGCTTCTGGATCTCCGGCTCCAGCCCTGCGGCAGCGGGAGCCACGGTTACTGCTCAGGGCTGTCCCGAGCCCATCACCAGGGCCCTTGGCCAGCCGGGGAGCAGGCTGCGAGCATCAGCTCAGCAAAGAGGGGCTGGTGAAAGACGAGGATGGGCACGCGTGGGTTTCCCTTGCCCTCTGCAGGCACGGATGTGACTGCACTCCGGCAGCAGCCCCGCTCCAGCCAGCGAGGGAACGTGCTCGAACCTTTCACAGTGATCTCTTTGATCTTCTTGGTTTTCTCATCAATCCACTTCTCCCGCCGGATCTTCTCGGTTGCGCTCATCAGCTCCTTCAGCTTCTTGAGCTCCTGTTTGGAAGCACAGGAGAAAACATCAGTGACAAGCCGGGGGAGGAGAGCCCGGTTAGCGAGGAGGAGGTTGCAGGCAGGAGCAGGCAGCCGGAGCCGCGCAGAAGGGCCAGGCACGTTCTCCCAGTCCAGAGAAGCAGCCGTAAGCTCTCCCCGTGCCTTCTCCCGTCGTGGGACGGGGCTGCTGCTGCCACAGACCTTGGGCATGGGGGAAAAAGAGCAAAACCCCTGGGAAAGCAGAGGCTGGCCAAGATATGAGAGCACCTACGGAGAGGAGAGGAGAATGTGGGGCTGCTGACAGGCCCTGTGTGCAGGGCATGGGGCTGTGAGCAGACACAGGGTCACGGGTGAAGATGCTTTCTCCTCCAGCCTTCCCTCTCCCTGGCATGGAAGCCCCTCTGAGAGCGGAACAGACAGACAGGGACCCCCAACCCCATGGTACCACCACAGACCAAGCTCCTGCATGACCCAAAGGCTGCACTTCCTCCTCCTCTGCCTGCATTTACCTCCTCAGCTCTCCTCTCCAGCAGAAAAGCTGGAGGAACACCCAAGCCCTGCTGCCCACAGAGCTCTTCCCCAATGCTCCCATCAGCAAAAGCCAGTCAAAGCACTCAACCACGTATTTCTGTGCTGGGGTTCCTAGTGAGGGAGGCCAATGGGAGCACCAGCCTGGCCGGAGACGGCTCTGTTTCAGCATGGGTAGGTGATGTCTGCACGCAGGACATGGGACACGCCACAGCTCTGGGACACCCAGGAGCTCGTAACCTGGCCACGGTGCAGAGAGGAGCAGGAAATAGCAGGGGGGTGCCCATTAGGGGGAAAAAAGGGCAGGAAATGAGCACAGGAAGACTGGGACAGCCTGAAGGCAGCAGCTGAGCACGGGGCCTGAGGAGATGGGGCTCCTGCATGGACTGACCCTGCTGCTGAGTGCGGAGCTCCCAGCTCAGCCCTGCTGCCTGCAGGCACCTGCGGAGCTGGAGTGGGTCAGGGAGGGAGAGCGGAAGCACAAAACCACAGCAAAGACCACATTTACCTGGGAAAAGGGGCCCAAAGTGCGCCAGACCTGGGGAGAAAGAAAGGAGGGGATGGAGAGAGAAGGGGAACCACAGAGGCATGGGGGAGAGGGGAGATGGCAGAGAGGCAAAGCCAAGCAGCCAGGTGTATGAGAGAGCCACGGGCAGGGCGGATGAGGGGCAGGGAGCCCATGCATGGTCAGGAGCCTGCTCTGGTGACCAGGGGACCCTTACAGGAACAAACATCCCCACCATGCAGAGGAGGCAGGGAGCCACATGGCAGAGCCAGGAACAGGGACAATGAAGGGGCCACAGAGCAGAGAGGGGTCCTGGGCTGCTCCCAGCCCTGCTGTGAATGGGAGTGAGAGGGAATGAGGCACCTCCTCAGCCCCACACAGGCTGCAGCAGCAAAACCAGCCCTGACTAGCTGTGGGAAGGGGGCCCTTCAGGCACCCAGCACACTGTGCTGGCTTCTAACCCCTGCCTGGGCTCAGCAGGGCCAAGCGAGCCCTGGCTGTGTTTGCACGAGTGTGTCTCTGAACAGGCTCAGACCAATGCAAACACTCCACAGCCCCGGGCATGAGCTCTGCTGCAAGGCCAAGAGGGAGCAGGGCAGCAGAGCCAGGATGAGCCCAGGGCTGAGCTGGGAGCCAGAGGTGCTGCCTCCCTGCCAGGGCACAGGGCGAGCTGAGCTGTGTCTGTGGGAGCTCTCTGCATGCTCCCCAGCGTGGGAGCTGGTCAGGGAACAGCCCAGCAAACCCACAGAGCGCTGTGACTACTGCTTGTACACCCCATGTCCCCTTATCCCCATTTAGCTCCGAGAGCATCCCTGTTCCCAGCTGAGGAGGATGCAGACAGAGGTACAAATTCCTCTGGGGAATCGGGTTTGTGGCAGCGCCTGCTTCCACCCCTGCCAAAGTGAGGTGCCCGGAGCAACCCCCAGCCAGGAGGGAGCTCTGCCCACAGCAGGATGGGTGGGAAGGGTCTTCCCAAGCAGAGCCCCTGGGAGCCAGCACTGCCTCCCAGTCCCATGCGTCTGGCTCTGGGTGGCAGAAGACAGCGGCCTCCTGGGGAGCCAAGGGAGAGCTCTGTGGGTGCCACAGACCTTCTGTGCACAGAGAAGGGCTCCCCAGAACAACGGGACCCCAACAAGGGGGGACAGACCCCACTTGAGCAAAACCAACCGACTCTGGCCATGGCACATCTCCTCTCCCTGCTCCCCCCCCTTCCCCATCCCCTCACCAGCTCGTGCTGCTCCTGCATCTGGGTGATCTTCTTGCCGTACTTCTGGTCCACTTGTTTCAGCTCAGCTACCACGGCCTCACACTTCTCACTCAGCACCTTCTTATCTTCGATGAGCTGCCCGGGGGAAGAAAAGGCACCAGCAGGGGGGCAGGGTAGGAGCCACCTCAGCTTCTGGCTCCAGAAGTGCAACTCTGAGTTGGGATGAAGGATTACCTGGTCGATGAAGGCCAGGTGCCTCTGGATAGCTGCCTCATACTGTTCCCTCTGCAGCCTGAGCTGGTGGCCAAGATCCTTCTCGGTCTGTTTGACGTGCTGGACACTCAGTTCCCTCTGCTGAGCCTTTTGGATGTAAGGAAGGAAGAGCCACAAGACATTAGAAGGAGACGTTACACCTACCCCACGTGCACAGAAGGTATCTCTTGAACCTGGAAGGCACTGCTGGGCCAGAACAAGGAGGAACGGAGCTAAATCAAAGTGTGGCACTCACACCTCCTGCCTGCTGTCAGCAGGAACTCCAAACCCCCAGGGGACAGAGGAGCAGGGAGCTCAGCCCAGGAGCACTGCACTGCTTCACCGGGGACACACGGGGGAAGCCCTGATCTTGTGCTCTGAAGCAATACGTGCTGAGGGCTCCGAGGCCTCGCCCCCAGGAAGCGAGCAGCCGTGGCTCACGCACCAGGGCGGTCTGCAGCAGGCTGATGGCTCGCTTCTTCTCCTCCACTTCCAGCTTCAGCCTCATGATGGAGCTGGTGACCTCCGTGGCAACAGCCGAAGCCTGCTCCAAGTGAGCCAGATCCTCCTCCGAGAGGAGACCCTGCCACAGCGAGCAAAGGGATTAAATCACGGTGGGCATCACCTGGAACCAGGACAAGGAGGCAGGAGATTCCCCCCCCCCCCCCGCCCCCCAACCAGGGTCCTGACCCCCATCCAACACAGATGGGCTCTTGCTCCTGTGCTCACCTCCCGCTGCGTGGCCGAGGCAGCCGACCGGGGCCTCTCCTGCTCCGACTTCTCCATCTCATCCAGGAAGCTGATGATGCTTTGGAGCTTGGCCTCCGAGAGCAGGGCCCCATCCTCGGGGACCCCCGGGGAGTGGTTCAGCTTCCCAAACTTCTCCAGGTTATCCGCAGTCAGGGAATTGGAGCCGGGCTCCTGCTGGGCAGACACAGCTCCAAATGAGCGCCTGGGGGAAGCTTGGCACAAGAGCTGCTGGCTCTTCCCAGGCCTCCCACTGCACCCCAGTAACCAGCCCTACCCCCTGTGCTAACCCCAGTCCCATCACAGCCCTCGCATGGGTTTGCATCTCCTTGTAAAGACCCAAGCCCTGGCTGCACAAAACTGAACCCCTCCAGCACCTTCAAACCCCTCCAGCACCTTCAAACCCCCCCAGCACCTTCAAACCCCCCCCATCACCTTCAAACCCCCCCAGCACCTTCAAACCCCTCCACCACCTTCAAACCCCCCCAGCACCTTCAAACCCCCCCCAGCACCTTCAAACCCCCCCAGCACCTTCAAACCCCCCCCAGCACCTTCAAACCCCCCCAGCACCTTCAAACCCCTCCAGCACCTTCAAACCCCCCCCCAGCACCTTCAAACCCCCCCAGCACCTTCAAACCCCCCCCAGCACCTTCAAACCCCCCCCAGCACCTTCAAACCCCCCCCAGCACCTTCAAACCCCCCCAGCACCTTCAAACCCCCCCCAGCACCTTCAAACCCCTCCACCACCTTCAAACCCCCCCAGCACCTTCAAACCCCCCCAGCACCTTCAAACCCCTCCAGCACCTTCTCTGGCTGTGTTTCTCCCCCTCCACCACACAGCAGTGCTGGAGGAGGCAGCCCATGGGGGAGCCTGCCCTCAGCAGGCAGCCGTTGGTGCCCAGGGGTGGATGTAACCAGGCTGAGCCCGCTGCTCACCCCATCTATCCAGGCATATCTGTCCTTCTTGAAGAGCTTCGGTGGGGGCAGCAGCTCAGGCTCTTCCTCCAACAGCCTGAGCGTGTCCAGCAGCTCATTGAGAGTGACTTTGGACTGAGACCTGCTGGCAGCAGTCACCGTCTCCAGGTCATCTCCACCCATCTCCCTGGAGCTCGCATCCTGGGGACAGGACACCACCTTGCAGTGAGTTTGCTGGACCTTTCTAGAAGTCAATGGAGGCTCCAAAGCTGCCCCAGCAGAAAGGCTCGTCCAGACCCACCTGCACCTTCTCCTCTGCCCCTGGATCCTGCGAGGGCACAGAGCCAGGGTCTGTGGGGCCGCTTTCTTCTGGCTCTGCAGCTCCTGGATGGAAATTGGCCCCTGCAGGAACCAGAGTGTTCTCAGGCCCTTGCAACACGCAGCCCCTTCAAAGCAGCTCCTGGAGAGCTGCTCCTCCATCCTCCTCTCCCCTCACATCACACACGGCTCCAGAGCATCCGAGACCTGCAGCAGGGACTCACCAGCATTGTTGGCTTTGGTGACACTGCTGGCTGGGCTGACGTTCCTTGCAGAAGCAGGCTTGGCTGCCTTCTTCTTTGCCACCCTTCTGCTCTCCTTCACCAGAGCAAGCTCTTCTTCTGCCAAGCACTTTGCATCCAAAGCCTTCTGGGCCCTTTTCTGGTGCAGCTCCTGCAGGGACACACAAGCCATCAGCGTCCTGCCCAGCCCAGGCTGTGCTTTGACACGTACCTATAAGTGCTAGCAAGCGAGAAGCAACAACCCACCCGGTTGCTGTGAAGGGTTAACAAGGACAGCTCTATGGAAGGGAGAGCACAGGAACAACAGAAGAGCTCTGCTCTTCAGGGCTCTCAGCTCCACATGCGCACAAGGGCTCTCACATGCCCCTGCTCAGGGACCTCTCCTGCTCCGTGAGAGCCTCCACATCCCGAGGGCCAAGCACTGCACGGCCCAGCGCTGCCGCAGGGCCCCAGGGGCTGCCCCAGCCCAGCCTTGGGAAGTCCCTGCAGGCACAAGCACGTGTGTGCGAGGCTGCTGGAGCCCTCTGCTCTCCTCCAGCTGCTCGGCGGCTCCCCACGGCCCCACTGAAAGGCGATTCCATTTAGGGCAAAGAGAAACCGGGGTCTGAAACATCTTCAGCTGCACACACGGAACAGCGCAAGGGCCGTGCCAGCCCCTCCTCTGCGCCCCAGCAGCACCAGCCCTGGGGTGGCGAGGGGCTCCCCACCAAGAGCACGGAGCAGGCTCAGCCCACCCTGGAGGGACCCCGCTCCCGAGGAGCATCCCTTCCCCAGCTGCTCCAAGGGGTTGCAGTCCCAGTGTCCCCGTTTCACAGGGTCACCCTTTCCCCCGGAAGCTAGAGGGAAAGCAGCGCGCTGCGGATGAGCTGCCAAGGCTTGGCAGGAGCACGGCGAGGCGAGCACCTCCGTCTCCACAGGGAGCACTCCATTCCCGAGGCTGGCTCTAATCCTGCTTTGTGCTAAGCACACAGGGATGCGGGGCCGGGGCCCTCGCGCTGCCTCGCCAACAAACAGTGCCCTGCGGCCACGGGGTCCTCGCCTCGTCCCTACCTGGATGGCAGCGCGGCGGGCCAGGCGCGCCTTCTCCTCTCGGATCTGCCGGCGCTCCTCGTCCTTCCTCTGCTGCAAATCCAGGATATTCCCTTCCTCCATGTGCTGCTGCCTTCCCTTCCAGAGAAGGGGGGCACAAACCGTTACCACCGCCCACAGCAGAGGAGCGGGGAAGGGCCCGATGCACCCGAGGTCACCCCACATCCAGGCTTCCCATCGCCACAGCCTTCCCCTCCACGCAGGTGAAGAGCCCTCAGGAAAGCTTTGCTTTAGAGCAGCTTATTTTCTATAGATACTAAATGCAATTATTAGTCATCTGGGTCTGAAACTATGGAGGAGACAAGGCCTAAAAATAGACTCTCACATGCAAGAGCTACAGAACTTTTTCGGTATTGGGATAAATAATTAAACACAAATAGCTGCGGATGAGGTGTCACTCCCGAAGGAGCCAACGGGTTCCTGGATCACTGGGATGAGCCCAGACAGGGCTTCCCTCCTCTGGCCACCCGAGGCAATGAGAGTTCAGCACATTTGGGCTGCTGGTGCCAAGCACCTGCCTGCTTGTGGCTGCGGGAGCTGCAGAATGGGGCCGTGTGGTGCTGAGCCCGGCCTGAGCGACCCATGGAGCCAAACCCGGGCTGTGCCCTAAAGCACCAGCGCATCTCTGCAGGGACAGGACCCCCCTGGCTCTCTGGTCTGCGAGGGGCTGGCTACAGGCAAAGCCAAACCCCTCATCCGGATGGCTCAGGTCTCCGATGGAGGGACTGAGAGCCCCCAGCAGTGAGGCGAGGGGCCACGGGTGTCAGCAGGGTCCATGCTGTACGGATCAGACAGGACTCACCTCCCTTTGGGAAGCCAGCAACCGCCCCAGCGCCGCGGCTGCCGCCCTGTGCCGCTGCGAGTGGCGCCGGTACCAGCGCTGGATGGTGACAGCAGCCAGGTTCACCTGCTCGATGAACCTGTGGGGAGGAGGAGGCTCAGCACAGCCCCACGTCCTGCTTGGCATCAGCCACCCGTGCTGCTGCGGCACAGCGCGGCTGCTCACCCACAGCACCGGGACTTCTGCCCCAACAACACGGACTGACGTGGGGGAGGCAGGAATTGTGCCTTGGATGACAAGGCTCAACGAGCAGGGATGGGGAGGGGAAAGCAGCCCCTGCACCTGCTCTCAGAGGGACCCTTCCTGAACCTGACGCCCCACAGGGCACGAACAAACCAGCTCCAGCTCCCCTGGGGCTCGCCCTCCTGCCTGTTCCCAGGCCACGCGCCGGCTCTGCCTCACCTCTCTGCCTCCTCCTCGGTCACCTCCTTCCTCCGGGGCAGGCTGCTGCTGCTGCTGCTGCTGCTGTTGTTGTTGTTGCGGGTCATGATGTTGTTGCTGGAGAAATTCTTCTGCGACTTCACGAAGCTGCTTTCCCCATCCTCGTTGGAGGTCGCTTTGACAACATTGCTACGGCAGAACACAAAGTGACTTGGCTCCATCCTGCCCCATCCCACGGCACACCTGCACGTCAGCGCAGCCTCCCAGCCAGGACCCCGCCGCACTTACTTGAGGGAGCTGGGTGCCTGGTTGGAGCTCTTGGGCGCAGGGCCCTTCTCCGTAGTGGAGTAGTTGTTGTGCACCATGGTGGTGACACAGTTGCCCATCGCGCCCTTGTTGCTCCTGTTGTGGAGAGCAGAAGAGGAGTTCGGACTTGCTGGATCCGAAGGGAACATCGTGCACTAGCAATGGATGCTCCCTCCACTGTAACCCCCAACCCACCCGTGACCATCTGGGGCATCTCCCAGGGTGAGGAGCAGGCTCTCCAGGGCTCACTACTTGGTAGCCGTTACCTGATGCCCGGACAGACACAGCCCAAGCGGACCCAAAAGCCGGCTCTTTGGGCTGTTTCACACACAGCCTTGGCTCAAGCCTCCTGTCCCCAAAGGGTCCCTCTCTTACCTGTTGTTTGCAGTGAAGTTGGCTGCCAGGAGCATGCTGGCCTCTTTCCTCCTCATGCCTGCTGGTGGCTCAATGCTGCGGGCACCGGAGGGGCCTGGGAACGCTCGTGGTTGATCATCCTGCATGGAGCCAGCAGGAGGTAAGTGCAGGCAAAGCACCAGCCCCATGTCCTGAAACTCTTCCTCCCTCACAGCCCACTTTCTCCCCACAAAAGAAACCTCCATTCCAAGCACAGCAGCCTCGAGGCTTTGCCTCCCTCTGCCAGAAGCATGGAGGTGATGGGACAAAGGCCCTGGGGCAGAGCAAGGCCAGCACAGGCTGGAGCACTTTGGCCATTCAAACAGTGCCAGCTTTGAGTGCAGGCTGAGGAAGGAGCAGCCTGGCCACCATGGATGGACCACCCTATCCTTGGGTCTAGGGGAACCCTCCCACTCCTCCACCAAAGCAAAGCAAAGCAAAGCAGCTCCCAGGTGAGCAGAGCTGCTGCAGCCACCGTCCTCACCAAGATGTTCCACGTGGTTCTCTTCTCCGGGCAGGTTTTGCTCACGCTCGACCCTTTCCTTCTGCCCCCAGAACTGCCCTCGAGGAAGGTCAGGAAGTCTCCTGCCTGCTCGGAGCTTCAGCACGAAGCCAGGGAAGGCAGGGAGGAGAGAACACGTGTTCTGCAGTGAATGCCGCACGCAGACACGCAGCGACAGGACGGGGCTCTCATCCTGCACAGGGTCACCCACCGGTACCTGCGCGCGCTGTTCACCCGCTGGTTGACCTGCGTGGTGCTGTTGGACCTCCGGAGGTTGTTCATTGCCCGGGACCCTGCATCTTCCTGCGGAGGAGAGAGCTGAGCTCAGCAGCCCCGCTGCGAGTCAGGCATCCTGAAACGGCGCTGGGGTAGCGCTGCCCTTCGCGCAGCCCCGACACGATGCTCTGGTACCCCCAACCTCAGCCGGAGGCAGAGAGCAAGGCCACCTCGCTCCCTCGCGGGGAGCCTGCAGCATCCCCCAGAAGAGGCCAGGAACATGGGAATCCCCAGAAGGAAATCAGTGCAGGGAGGTGAAAGGCAAAGGGAAAAGAGTGAAGCCTGATGCTTCCCTACTTGCTCTTTTGCACGCATTAAATCACTGAGAAGAGACCCAATGAGCAGCTTATTGTTGAGGGTGACCAGATCTGCAGTTCTCCCCTCCCAAAGCTCTCCATGAACACACGGATGTGCTACACGCTTCCAAGGGAAGCCAGGACCCCCCCCATTGCCACCCCCCAGCCCCATCTCAGCCCAGCTGCAGGCAGAGCAGCACCCATGGAGGCAGCCGGGGCCCGTGCTGCGGGGGGATGAAGGCCTCACCGGAGCGTTCCTCTTGGCTTTGCTGTCGGCAGTGACCGAGATGGAGCGCGCCATGGGCTTGGCAGGGGACGCGCTGCCGGGACGCCGCGACACGGGCGCGGGGAAGCCGGTGAGGCTCAGATCCACGCCGGCAGCACCAGCGCCCTGGCAGGAGGAGCTGCTGCGAGCGCTCTTCATGCTCCGGCAGGAGGAAGGAGCCCTGGAAGCAAAGCACAGAGGCAGGAGTGAAGGTGTGGGGCGAGCACCCAGCCCCGCGCCGCGCTCCCCGCTGCCCTAACTGCTTCCAAAGGGGACAGAACACCTCCCTCTGCGTTCCCACTCGCCAGAGAGCCCCGAGCACAGGCCTGGGGAGGCTCCTGATGAGCTCCGCACCGCTCTGACCCCGCACCCGCCTGTCCCTGGGCCAGCAGGATGAGTACAAGGACAAAAGCCGCGCTGCCCACCCCGGGCTCCTTCACTCCATCCAGAGCACGGCTGCAGGAGGATGAGTCCAGAGCATCCTCTCCTGCTTAAGGCCGGGCTCAGCTGCCCCAGTGCCCTGCACCGCGCGGGGATGCTGGGCAAGCATCGTCCTGGGGGGCTCCTTCCCGCACGGAACGCTCCCAGCCTCTGCCACGAAGCCGTCCAGAAGCAGCCATAGGGAGAGCCGAGCCCTCCCCAGCTCCGCCCGCAGCACGCTCACGGCTTCACCCCATTGCCCCCCTCCGACCAGCGGCCGTCCCCGTCCCCATCCCCATCCCCATCCCCATCCCCTCCGGGTGCTGCCAGCGGAGTCCCCCCCCCGCCTCGGCGGCCCTGGCAATGCCGCGGGCTCCAGCAACGCCGGTAAACAAAAGGCTCCCGATGCAAACCGCCGGCACAGAGGGCTCCAGCGCAGAGCCCAGCCCCGGACACCCGGGACCCCAAGGATCCAGGCCCCAAGCCGAGGCCCCCACAGCCCCCAGCGCCCACGACCCCCAGCGCCCCGGCCGCACACAGCAGAGGCCCCACGGCCGAGGGGCTCCACGCAGCGAAGAGGACCCGGAGGAGGAGGAGGAGGGCCCGGAGCCGGAGCCGCACCCGAGGCTCGCCCGCTCCCGGCCCCCGCCGTACCCGGAGCCCCCGCTCAGAGCAGGCCCCGGCCCCGGCCCCGGCCCCGCACCCGCTCCTGCCGCTGCCACGCGCCCCGCCCCCGCCATTGAGGGGCGGTGGAGGGAGGAGGCAGCCAATGGGAAGAAAGGGGCGGGGCGAAAAGGAGAGTGGGGATAGGCTGAGGAGGAAAAAGGGGCGGGAGGAGGGTGGGGCGATGAGGCGTGGCCTGAAGGAGGGAGGCGTGACCTAGCAAGAGCGAGCCAATGTGATTAGGCGAGGGGCGGGGCTTATGCGAGAAGGGCGGAGCTTGCCCCTTGCTGCATGGGGGCAGAGGCAGCTGTGGGGCAGGGGCCCCATGGGGCAGAAGGAAGCTCGGGTCAGGCTGCAGCAACGGCGCAAGAAGTCACGAGCTCCCAGAGCCAAGTGTGGGGTTTATTGGTGGGTCCCGGCCCCACTGCATCGGTGCCTTCTCCCACCCCAGCCCCACGGCTCCCCGGGCTGGCGCTGGGGGAGGCAGGGGGGCACCCAGGAGCACCCCAGAGCAGTGCTGGGGTCCCCAAAGACCCCCCCCTCCCCTCAGTGAGCCCCAGTGGGCTCTGGCACATCTCCAGCCCAGTGCCAGCACCGTTCCCCTCTGCCAGCCCAAAACGGGGGCTTTTGGCACCAAAAGCAGCTCAAGAAACGTTACAACCTGCCCACGGTGGCCAGAGCTCACCGTGTGTCCCCCCAGCAGCCCCCTTCCCTCGTCCCGGTGGACAGGGCACATGGGGCTGCTCTTTGCTTCTCCCCAGGGTGCCACAGCGGAATCTGGGGGAGATCGAGCCCCCTTCCCATCAAGCCCATAGGGCTATGGCACAACAGCCCCCGCAGGGAGGGAGGGCAAAGCCCCCGCAGCCCCCCGGGAGCCCCACAGCAGCTACACGTTGAGGAAGGCGAAGGCTGACGGCTGCTGCTCACCCTCTGTGTCCATGTGGGGCTGGGACGGTGCCCGTGGCTCTGGTGGGGCAGAGTCCTGGCACAGCACGGCACCGGGAGGAGCCACCAGGTCCATGCCAGCAAAGAGGGACAGGCTGCGGGACAGTGCAGGGGCACCCGCCGCGTCCCCTGGCACCCTGCTCACCGCCTCCTGCCCGCAGGGACCGGCTGGCACCGCGGCACCGGGCTGCCCAAGGGTCTCTGCTTCCACCCCTGGCTCCTGGCTGCAGGCACCGGGCAGTGGGGCTGCGCTCAGCGGGGTGAGGATGCTCTCGCCGGGCAGCGGGGGGATGTCCAGCAGCAGGTCCCCGGGGCACGGGGCTGAGCCCGGGGGCAGGCCAGAAGGTTCTGAGTCCGGGTGGGTGCCCTTTGGGGAGGGGTGGCCCCTGCAAAGAGCCTCGAACTGCCGCAGGATCTGCAAGGAGAAGAGTGGGAGGGGTTGGAATGAGAACGGCATCGGGAGGAGGACACAGCCCAGCCCTTTCCCACTAGAGGCTGCCCTGGGGTCCAGACCTGGCTCTTGAGGATCACATCCTCCAGGCTCCCTGCTCCTGGGAGAGAGGGACAATTCCCACCCCTGCGGCACACACATGGAGCCGTTCCCAAGGGCTGGGTGTCTCCAAGGATGGGAAAGGCACTGCCTGGAAACTGCGCCGGGGAGGGGACATGGGGACACCCCAAGAGTCACCTTCGTTGCTCGGTTGGCGACGGGGCCGGGGCTGCCCTGGCTGAGCTGCTGCAGCTGCTGCCGCGTCACGGCGAAGATCTGGTCCAGGGAGAGCAGGTCCGAGCACATGAGGGAGGAGATGGCAGCCATGGACCTCTGCAGGAGGAGAGAGCGCGGCTGAGCCGGGACGGGCAGCACCGGGCACCCCGCAGGCAGTGGGGGGGCACAGAGGGGCCGCGCTGCGCTCACCATGCGGACGCTGTCACTGGGGTCCTGCAGCGCCCGGCTCAGCAGCTCCAGCACCACCTCGCAGTTCAGCAGCCCGCATCTGGCCATGGGATAGGGGTTACGGCAGCACCGGGACCCCCCCGCCCCACCCGCCCCTGCATTTCAGCCCCAAGGCCCATGTGAAGGCAGCCAAGGGGGTGAGAAGGGCTCAGGCTGCTCCTGGAAGCCCCCGCAATGCTCCCCACCCAGCCCCACAGCACCCATGGGCCGCTCGGGGCACTTACTCCTTGACGAAGTGCTGTGCTTCCTCCCTGGTGAGGAAGACCCTGGCTCCGCGGGTCAGTGCTGACACCAGGCTCACCTCCCGCACGCAGTCACCCAGGCTGTCAGCGTCCACCCTGCACCAGGACATGCCTTGGTGGGGACAGGAGCCAGCCCTGGGGTTCCAGTGCAGACCCCCCCACACACACCCTCCTGCAGGCTGGGACCCCCCCCAACACCCCCCTGCCCCTGGCTCTGCACATCCCAGGAGGAACAGACCAGAGCCTCTGGATTAACGGTGTGGAAAACGAGGGGGGCACCGCTCCTGGGGATGAGGGGAGCACCCCGGAGGGCCCCAGGGGAAGGGGACCCCCGAGGCCCCGCTCGCACCTCTCGGCCGCGTGGCTCAGCTCCCGGCTGGCTCCGCAGTGGCTGTCGCTGCCCGATTTGCTGCAGGAGTCCGAGGTGCGGCTCAGGTCCCCGATGCCCTGCGAGGAGTCCTGGGAGCTGTGCCCGCTGTCTGCCTCCTCCCAGCCTCCTCCGGCCAGCCCCGGCTGGTGCCTCGCTGCAGGGACACAGCGGGGACACGATGACAGCCCCACACAGGGAACCCCCCAAGGCCCCCAGGACCTACCCCGGGTGCTGTGCGCTGCGGTGGCTGCTGGTGGCTTCCCGGCTGTGGCGGGGCTCCGGGGCGGTGACGGGGCTCTCACGGGCTCGTAGGTGTCCTCGTGGAGGTCCCCGTGGCGTGGCCAGTGCCCCCCCGGGGACGGGAGCACAGCGTGGGCCACAGCCTCGGCCGCGCGCTGGATGGTGCTGAGCAGGGCTTCCCCTGGGGAACCTGGGCACGGCCAAGCCTTGAGGTGATTCCCAGGAGAGCCCCAGGGCACCCAGTACCCTGCAGGGGACAGTGGGGACTCCCCGCAGAGAGGAGCACCCCTGGCATAGACCAGACGTGTGGCTGGGTACGGAAGGGTGAGGAAACCTGGAAGCTACCGGGATGGGCCACAGGGACGGGCCGGCCTCCCAGCACCCTGTCACCCGCCCCCCCAGCAGGGAATGACACAGCAGAGCCACCCATGAACACCCACTGACAACCAGTAACCACGCAGGTGTCACCGGATGCTGGGAGCCTGCTCTGAGCCCAGGCAGGACCCAGGGCTGCAGCAGGGACCGAGCAGGGGACGCACACGGGGCAGCGCCAGGACTCACCAGAGCTTCTCTCAGTGCTGTAGCCAAATCCCTGCAAGGAGCCGCAGGGGCTGGAGCTGGAGCCCATGCCTGGGGGAGCCATAAAGCACAAACAGGGTCACCCTCCACTGCTGCTCCCACCTTTGGAAGTGCAGGGGAGGAGCTGGGTGCAGGGCAGTGCCCCTTTGCTCCCCCAGAGCTATGGGATATCCCCTGATGAGGGGGCCCACAGTGGGGCAGGGGAAGCAGCCAAGTGCCCAGCACCAGGGCTGAAGCACGCTGCCCTCACCGCACCCTGTCCTCACCCCTACAGCCCCCCTGGCCGGGGGACCCTCTGCACACCCGCAGCTCCAGCCAAAGGGACCGTGCCCATGGCGGTGACAGGGCCGCACTCACCCGCGGGAGGCAGGGGACGGGCAGAGGGGGCAGCGGGCGGGGGCAGCGGCGCATCCGAAAACAGGAGCGTGGCCAAGTCCTGCCGGGAGAGAGCAGCGAGGGCTGGGGAGCAGCAGGGAGCCCTGCGTGGGGTCTGGGGGCAGAGCCGCCCTGCAGCCCCGCACAGAGCCCGGGCAGCGGGGCTGACGCTCACCTGCGCGGCCACACGGACCTTCTGGTTCAAGCTGTTGCCGTGCAGGGGGTCTGGGGGCCCAGTGAACACTGCAAGGACCGAGGCGGGGAGCGCTCGGGGGGGTGACCCGGCTCCCAGCCCGGGGCAGGACCCCGGCCCCGGCCAGAGCTCAGCCTCCCTCCGGGCCCCGTTACCTGCGGCCTCCCGGATGAAGCAGGCGCTGCCCTTGAGCTGCAGCAGGAACTGCGGGGAGCCCTGGGCGCAGGTGTGCAGCAGGAGCTTCAGCACCTGCGGGCAGAGCGGGGGTCACGGCTGCCCCGGCAGGGCCCAGCACCCAGCGCCGGGGCTCCGCACCCCCGTACCTTCAGCTTGACGTGGCAGGAGCCGCTCTGCAGCCGGCCCAGCAGGAACTCCAGCAGGCACTGGCTGCTGCCGGCCGACTCGTGCGAGATCTCTGCGGCCCGGTGAAGGATCCTGCTCCCCACGCCTGGCACCGCGGCCCCTTCCCCGCCTGACACCGGCTCTAAGCCCCCCCCGCTCCCGGGACCCCCCGCCCGGCCATGGAAGGATACTGGCGATCTCCTCGAACAGGTACCCGGGGCAGGGCGCGTCGTCGTCCGCGGTGCCCCTGAGCAGCACCGGCAGCTGCGGGACAAGCGGGAGGGTGAGGGGCGGTGTGACCGGGACCGGGACCGGGCCTGGGCCTGGGCCTGCCCCTGCTCCCTGCTCCCCGCTCCCCGCTCCCGGCCCCGGCCCGTACCCGGCTCAGGAAGCTCAACCGGTCCCGCAGCGGCGCCGCCATGACAGCCCCGCCGCCGGTCCCTGCCCGGCCTCGCAGCTCCGCCCCCCCAAGGTTGCTCAGCACCAATGAGAGCGCGAGAAGCTGCGGCTCGGACCAATCACCGTCGAGGAAAGGCAGAGCTCCGGGAGGAAGTGGTTCAGGAGATTGATGGGCGGGAGATAGGACGTAAACAACCGGCACCTGCACCAATCGGGAGGGGCTCGGGGGGCGGGGCCGCGTTCGACCAATCCGCGCTTACGAAGAGCCGATCTGTCCAACCCGAGAAGGGCGAGAGGACGACCTTCCCCCAACACACAATCAGAGATCCAGCGCTCTTTGATTGGCGCACCATTCTCCTATCAGCGAGCCGGAGGGGCGGG